AAAGAAAATTGTATTTTATTAACAGTTCTTAGAGTCGTAATTTCTTACAACTGATTAAGTGACATTTCTGTCATTCATGTTCATTCGGACTGAAATGTCAGTTAATCAGTTGTAAAGCAACTACAACTCTAAGAACTGTTAATAAAATACTATTTTCTTTACGGCCGTGTAAGTGCGCTCCGACGCGCTCCGCCGCGCGCCGGTCAATTGGCATCGTACCTCAGGGGTAGCTCATGAGTGAGTACTATCAACTATCATCTTTGAATCAGTAGTCCAACATCCTGGTGCCCACCAGACCATTCTAGGGTGGGCACTAGACCATTCTGAGGTGGGCAGGGCCCACACGGTCCTCCTGCTGTATATACGCATGCACCACTATGGGTCAACATGGTGATGAGTAGAAATAGTGGAAGAAACTCAGTCATCTAGTTTTGAGGTGTTTAATTTCCAGGTGCTAACTTAAACTATTGTCGGCAGTGCCCTGCAAGAAGTGTGGCGAAAGCGTCTGCGGAACAGACCTGGAGGACCACATCAGGGATTCCTGTGCGCACACCATCAAGTCTTGCAGGTGAGAACATAATTCGAGGCTAGCCATTGAAAACTTGCAAATTCAGGGCTAGAATGAAGTGTTTTTTTAAGAAGTGTCTTCTTTGGTGCCTTTTTCCTTTGATTTGGCACACGTGCGGATCTGGTCCGTAAAATCTTGCGTGTATAATCTTAATCACGCTGCTGGTGCACGCTTTGTGCCCACAGCCAATCCGCGTTTCGCGTGCGTGTAGCCCGCTTATTAGGAAAAATACTACAAAATGATGAAACCAAATCGGATCCATACGCGTGCTGAAATCCGCATCACAGGAAAAAGGTACTCAGTAGGTTTTCAGTAGACATCATTCGTCGTCGTTTCAGCCGAATGACGTCTACTCAAAGATTTCCACAAGGACCGGTCCAGCGCCGTCCGCATCCAGGCACCTTCCGCGACTTTCACCAGATCGTCGGTCTACCTAGTGGGGGGCCTGTCGCCACTCGAGAACTTCACTAAGCCTAGGCGCAGACTGCAAACTTTTTGTCGGTCCATAGTTTAGTCGAGCAGCTAATCAGTTTGGGCATGTATGGAAGTGCGCAAGTTACACCGGTTGATTCTTCATACAAATTAGAATCGGGCCCAATTATCGGCCGACTAAAAATCGGTAGTTTGCGCCTAGGCTTTAGGTTTACACTTCAGATATATTTGTATGTTTCTTTTTAGATTTTGCGACCAAATATTGCACGCCGTGTGGTGATGGCAGAGTAGAATACATTAATTGTCACCAACCCCTACTCTTCCCGCGGGTGTCGTAAAAGGCGACTTAGGGTCTACACATTAAACAGAGAACGGGCAGCAGCGATCTCTGATAAACATTAATATTTTAAACTGCGATCTCCAATCCGTCTGCCAAGCGTGGAGATTATGGCAAAACCCTCCACTAAAGTGGAGGAGGCTCATAGTCCACTAGTGGGCTGTAAAGGGCTGTTGATGATGATGATTGCTACGGCCGATAGACATGTTTGTTCACTTCATTCTAGATTTTGCGAGCTAGAGCTGCCCCGGCGGGAATTACCAGCGCACGAGGGCTACTGCGGAGCTCGCACGGAGCAATGCCCCGACTGCCGCGAGTGGGTCATGATCAAGTACCGCCAGCTGCATAGAGACTCCAACCACGGCTTCCTGCGCCTCGACGACGGTAAGCATTGGCGTATCTAAAGTCCGGTCGCCGAGCAAGATACAATGATCCCAAGCTACCCGTCCTTATCGCTCGCGCGTAATGAGGGCTATCGTTTTTATACTTAACAGTTGGCACCCCTGGCGATTGACAGGACCTTACTCTACAGTGGCGCTAACTGGTGAGCGCTAAAACGATAGCCCTCATTATATTGCTGTCCCGGGACAAACTTGACCTTCACTGGTTGGGTCTTCTTCTTTTCGTGTCGACAACAAACCTACACAGTGTCAGCCCAAAACTGGTTGGGTTTTGATTGGCGGTCAAGCTGTAGATCCTGGCTACACAGGAGTTGCAGCGGTGGGAACGAGAGGTGGGAATAGTCCCGTTTGCTGTCGCGCTCGCAAACTCACTGCGGCCGCCCGTCGCACATTCGCGACTTCCCATGGCACGGGGGGAGGGGGTGCCATTAATATCATTGCTCACGAGTGAGTACTTCAAGTATCACCTTCGAATCAATACCCTAATAACATCCTGGGGCGGAGCACGGCCCAACGTATACCAGAATAAGTCATTGCCCAATGTGTCCGATGTGTGCACAACGCATCGTGAGCAGTTTTTTCGCTCAATAAGCGTTTTTACTCCGTAAACATTATTAAATGCAACAGTCACTGACTGATAGCGAATGCTGGCTAGGACGCTGATACTCATTATGACGTAGGCATCCGTTAAAAAAGATTTTCTACAATATACTCCCTTAAGGGGATAAAATGTGGGTCCAAAGTTTATCGAGCGAAGTCGTAATCAAAAACTACTTAGCTACAGCATTGCAATACAATTCCAGACCCAGTGCCCGTCCCCACCGAGCCGGCCAAGCTGCCTCGCGTCCCGAGGCTGAGCCCGCCGGCGGCTACTAATGGCGCCTCCACCAGCGCGGCTGCTAGCGGCACCAATGGAGTCCTCAAGAACATCAACGTGACTCAAGAGAGGCCTAGGACGGAGAACAGGTAAGTTCAACAATTTCAGACTCAGTGCCCGTCCCTACTCTCTACCATAAAGTTATTATTCCTTTGGAATAAAGCAACAACCACAAGTTGTCAAAAGAAACCGATTTCGGATGACACTGGATGTCAGTGGTTGCAAAAAATTATTCTGTTTGTTACGGCGACGGCATCACGCATCTTTTTTTATCACACAGTGTTGCTGCTAGTGACATCTCGCTCGCCCAATTTTTGTTGCTCTATTCCGCTAGGTATATTAACTTTATGGTCCCTACCGAACCGACCAAGCTACCTCACGTTCTGAGGCTGCACGGCTGTTAACGGCACCAACGGCGTCCTGAAAAACATCAACGTGACTCAAGAGAGGCCTAGGACGGAGAACTGGTAAGATCAACAATGTCAGACCCAGTGCCCGTCCCTGCGGAACCCGCCAAGCTGCCTCATATTCCGAGGCTGTGCCCGCCGGCGGCTACTAATGGCGCCTCCACCAGCGCGGCTGCTAGCGGCACCAATGGAGTCCTCAAGAACATCAACGTGACTCAAAAGAGGCCTAGGACGGAGAACTGGTAAGATCAACAATGTCAGACCCAGTGCCCGTCCCTGCGGAACCCGCCAAGCTGCCTCATATTCCGAGGATGTGCCCGCCGGCGGCTACTAATGGGGCCTCCACCAGCGCGACTGCTAGCGGCACCAATGGAGTCCTCAAGAACATCAACGTGACTCAAGAGAGGCCTAGGACGGAGACCAGGCAAGTTCAACACTTCCCGCCCAGTGACCGTCCCTGCGGAATCGGCCAAGCAGCCCCTTGTCCCGAGGCTGAGCCCTCCAGCCACTAGCGGCGCCTCCACTAGTTCAGCCTCTAATGGCACCAATGGGGTCCTCAAGAATATCAACGTGACGCAAGAGCGGCCTAGGACGGAGAATAGGTAGGATCAACAATGTCAGACCCAGTGACCGTCCCTGCGGAGCCGGCCAAGCTGCCCCGCGTCCCGAGGCTGAGCCCGCCGGCGGCTACTAATGGCGCCTCCACCAGCGCGGCTGCTAGCGGCACCAACGGGGTCCTGAAGAACATCAACGTGACTCAAGAGAGGCCTAGGACGGAGAACAGGTAAGTTCAACAATGTCAGACCCAGTGCCCGGCCCTAGTCAACCAAGCTGCCTCAAGTTCCGAGGCTGAGTTCGACAGCCACCAATGCGGCATCCACTAGTTCAGCCTCAAATGGCTCCAATGGGGTACTGAAGAACTTCAACGTGACGCAGGAGCGGCCTAGGACGGAGAATAGGTAAGTTCAATAAGTCCAGACCCAGTGCCCGTCCCTGCGGAGCCGACCAAGCTGCCCCTTGTCCCGAGGCTGAGCCCGCCAGCCACCAATGGCGCCTCCACCAGCGCGGCTGCTAGCGGCACCAATGGCGTCCTGAAGAACATCAACGTGACGCAGGAGAGGCCTAGGACGGAGAACAGGTAAGTCAACAATCCCAGTCACTGGGTGACCGTCCCTGCGCAGCCGGCCAAGCTGCCTCGCGTTCCGAGGCTGTGCGGCTGCTAACGGGACCAGTGGGGTCCTGAAGAACATCAACGTGACACAGGAGCGGCCTAGGACGGAGAACAGGTAAGACCAGTTAATATTGTTAGCTATGTTCCAATTGCCAGACAGTTACTAGATTATTTCGTAAGAACGATTGGATGCTTTGAAGAGCACTTACAACTAGGAGTGTCAGTTTATTCCAGTCTCTAATCCCGTGAGGGATTAGTTATTTCTATCTGCAAGTTCGAAGAAAAAGCAGACCCCTATTGTCTCCCATCAAAATATGCGTTACCATATAGCAATACTACTGTTTTAGTTAAAATTTGTTCTTTGACGGAGTTCAGTGGGTTTGCTTACTTGATGTTGATATTGTTGCGATCCTATATCGTTTAATCAGGAGCAAAAGCTTAGATTGCTTCAAGATCATACCCACCAATCCCCATTTCTCTAGAAATAAAATTCGCATGATCCCTAAGCATGTTAGATCAGCTAAGCTTGTCTAAAAGGTTCACAGGTGCCTCTTAGGTCTTTCGATTGTATAAAAATAAAGTCAAATATCCTGTTCCTCCAACAGCCGGCCCCGCCCAGGGACCAGTAGCAGCTCGGAGCCCGTAGCGGGCGGGTCGCGTGCCCCCGACGCGAGGCTGCCGCTCAAGAGGACCAACGACCAGCCGCAGATCAACACCAACGTGTCTGACGCGGAGAAGGTCAAGAAGGAGCTGTGAGTAGCCCTGACTTTCGTATATGGGTCATTCCACAAAAATATGTCAACTCTTAGTCCGCGCCACATTTCACATGGAATATTTGTTAATATTTTATTCCAAAATTGTTAAATGACAGCTCGAAATGTGTTTTATTCATCACCCATTTATATTTTTTAAACAATTTTTCAAACATCTTAAATTCCTTTTAAATGACCCAAAACGTCATTCCCTAGGCATGTCCGTACTCCAAAAGTTTGTGTTTTGGAACTCATATTTATAGAAACATCAACTTATCCTTTGTTTTAATTAACGAATAATCTATTTAAACGTATATTACACCAAATTCTATTAATATTTTGCGGTTTCAATAAACAATAATTTTATTTTCTTAAGTTGAAAAAATGTCCACAATTTTTATCATCATTCCCTAGCCATGCACTGATTTTATAATTTTGCGCTTTAATATGTAAATAGAGTGAATGACATTTAGTTGAGTTTAAAGTACGATACGAAGTTATCCTCACACCATAATGGCTTTGCGGCAGCCGTTTTTTGAATTAATGCAAACGTGCCAGTTGTTGCGGAAACATGTGTTAATCCAGTCACTTCGTCAGTCCCTAGTTGAGTAGCTTTATTGATTACAATAGGAAATTGTATATAATTTAATAGTTATTTACGTGTGGTTTTTCGGCTATTTTCGGCACATCGTATTAAGCATCTTATAAAATAAAGTTAATCTGCATCTGTGTTAAGTTTTACTCCAAATCGTCAGTCCCTAGACCATCAGGCCCTAGCTTTAAACGGCACTAGGGACCAAGTGACTAGTTAGGGAATCACGTTTTTTATATAGTGATAATAACAAAACAACTACATTAAGTATATTAACTTATCTATAAATGTTAAGGTTATAAGTTTTATACTTTATTAAAAGTCATAAAGGAGTAATGTAGTATGAAAAAATTAAAAATTATAATTTCTCCTAAAATATGGCATAAAGTGACTGGCCCTTTTAGACATAACATTATTAATAAATAAACTATAATTTACACTAACAATGTATTCAAAAGCATCTTAAAAAAGTCTAGGACAAAATGACGTCGAAAATATACAGATTTTTATGGAATGACCCATATTCATCTCTAAGGAGCAGAAAAGTTCTTGAGCGGTAACCACGGACCGAAAAATTATAAGCTTCAGCCAAACCAAAGCGTTCAGCCTGCGCCCCTGATAGCGTAATCTGATCGCCACCGCTGCGTGCAGACTTTCCACCGGCCGCCGCAGCCAATCAAAGGACGCGTCTATGTGAACACGTTGCACAAGTTTGTAAATGATATTTGATCGTTATCTTGCACGCCATTGCGGACGCAGGCTGAATGCCTTGGTTTGGCTGAGGCTTTGGTGTAGGCAGACTTCTCACTCAGTGGAGATATTTCTATATACTCCGATATTTATACTCCGATATTTTGGTGAAGATATTATATACTCCGATATTTTGGTGAAGGTTGCGGGAAGTATCTGCGGGCAGCGCAGAACTAATCGTCGCTGTGGAAACCCTTGTGCTGAGGTCTTTTGTCCAGCAGTGGACATCTTTCGCTTGAATCGAACGTGACATATGTATTAGAAAGACACTTATTTTTATTAATCGTTCTATTATAACTATGTTTTATACCCACAGGGGCATGTCCCGGGGCGCCGTGAAGAAGCGTCAAGCGCCGCAGCCGCCGGCGCCGGAGCCGCGCCGCGACCGCGCCTACTACAGCGCCATGCGGCGCCAGCAGGACGAGGAGCGCGCGCGCCGCGAGCAGAGCGCCGTCAACGCGGCGCAAGGTGAGGCCTGATGCGGCGCCGGACACAAGCGGCGCCGGACACAAGCGGCGCCGGACACAAGCGGCGACCGCGCCTACTACAGCGCCATGCGGCGCCAGCAGGACGAGGAGCGCGCGCGCCGCGAGCAGAGCGCCGTCAACGCGGCGCAAGGTGAGGCCTGATGCGGCGCCGGACACAAGCGGCGCCGGACACAAGCGGCGCCGGACACAAGCGGCGACCGCGCCTACTACAGCGCCATGCGGCGCCAGCAGGACACAAGCGGCGCCAGACACAAGCGGCGCCGTATACAAGCGGCGCCGGACCAGGGTACTCATCTAAAGCCTGGTCCGTGAGCATGTAGAATTTTGTCCAATGACTCCAAGCTACCCATCGCGACTGTGCGACGGGCGCCCGCAGTGAGTGTGCGAGTACGACAGCAACATAATTACGCGCGAGCGATAAGGATGGGTAGCTTGGGGTCATTGGACAAAATTCCACGTGCTCATGGACCAAGCTTTAGCCGTGTAGCATGTAATGTATCAGATACTGTATCAAGTGAGTACATAGGCACGAGCCCGCTGCGAGCTGCTCGAGCGTGGTTCGCATGGAGATCACAGCGACCCGCCGACTGGCGGTATCACTGCGAGCACAAAGGCGGCTCGCAGTAGGATCCAGGAGCTCGCAGCCAGATACGCGATGACCGTGGACGAGCCGTACTCACTTGAAGGTTGGTTACGTTACATGCTACGTTACGTGCTACATGGCAGGTGAGTACCTACCCTGCTACAGCGCCATGCGACGCCAACAGGACGAGGAGCGCTATCAACGTTGCGCAAGGTATAGATCCATCCACGAAGACGCGCCCCACCATTCTTCCGCTAACGTTTAAGTGTTATCGGTACACGCTAAATCATCCATGAGTGCACACGCACACTACAATAATGACGCTCTGATTGCCGGATCAAACCCCCCGCGTCTGACAGTATTGTACCTT